ATCAATGGATTGGTTAAATCCTTCCTCCAATGTCCTCGCATGTTAATTGAATTAATCGGCTCAGTTCTTTTGTATTCCACTTTCAGACTTGTTTCCCTGAGAATGATGATGATGGTTGTTGTAATGTTGTTGCTAATAACTTCCTCGATGGTACATGTCTTTTATTTTACACGGGATACCACGTGGTTGTTTCTTCTTCTATATCCTTTCAAATGGCGACGACGAGAACTTTGTACGGTAGTTGTCTATTTCACTTTCAAATCCTTCAGTGCCACATTCCTTAGAATAATTTCTACATTTACTGTTTTTAACGAAGTTTCATTTTTAATCCAAAATTATTTTACCTCTTTCTACACGGGTAACATTCAGTTCAGCTTCGTCTTGTTTTCTTCTATAAATGTCATCGTCGACTTCCTGTACTTCTACTGAGTAGTAATTTGTTCGTATTTCCAAATCTATAATTTTAATCCCAAACTCCCTCCTAACTATATTTTCTTGTTCACTGAATGGTGAGTTAATATTTTCTTCAAACTTTCTCGGAACAAATTGCGGTTAAATGTTTAGACTTGAAAATCTCTATAAAAAAAAAACAATTTATTTTGTTAATCGTGTTTCTTTAACTTTTTCTCTCTTTCATGCGGTGAAGCAACTTTCATGTGTGTTTTCTTGGTCATTTCACCAAACATTTGTTGAAAACACACACATCTAAATTGGTGTCCATGTCCTTTTTTTAGCGAAGAAAGTGACACATTTTCAACTTGTTTTACAAAGTTTGTCCTGAATATTTTGCACATCAAACAGAAATCTCAGGAATTCCAGAACAGAACTGTCACGAGAAATACGTGAAGAATGATTTGATTGGCTATGTCTATTTCAAGCAACATATTGAGGTTATATATAGTTTTATCTTTATTTCGACCTGTGAGGTCATATCGAATTGATGTCTCTATATAAAGTTCAACTTAATGTGAGGTTATTTCGGGTTGCAGTATAGTATTGGAAACGATGTACTAAAGTACAACCACGTGCTGGTAGCTTACACTGTGATTGGCTGTCATACAACCAATAAGACAATGCCACATCAGCATAATGCAGTAGTGCGGGGAATGTACTCATGACGGAAGAACCGTAATAATAATAATGTGTAGAAATCAATCATGTGATTGTGTAAGGCTATTCTAAGCAACAGACTGACGCAAAATTTCAAGTTTAAAAGGAGCTATTTGGAAATTCTGAAAAAGATAGTGACTCTGATACAGTTGATAATACCAGTAGTCGATATAGAAAACCGAAACTCTTAAAAAGTGTTGTTAAATAGTTTAGGATATGCTTTTACATGATGCATGAAATCCCATATCTTGTCAATGGCTTAACTCTAAGTAGAGGTAAGAATGTTACCTCGAAAACAACAAGATGCACATTAACATGAAGTGTCTCAGTGAACGTGTAACTGCTTAGGAAATATAAACAAACAAAAAGACTGAAAAGACATCAGACTCCAAACTATGGAGAAAGCGAATCTGGGAGATGATGATTCTCTTTACAAATAAAACCAAGTTAAGATTGTTTGACAAAAAATTAACGATAGTTTGTTCGATGGCAGAGAGGAGAAAAATATCACGATCAATTTTACAATATGTACAATGAAGCGTATTGGAGAACCAATACAAATGTGAGCTATGTCTCCAAACAATATTGATGGCACCCTGGCTGCTGAAAGGTAAAGAAACAACTTGGCGGAATTCCAAAATTCTAGCACATTGTTAAGCTCCTTAGTTGTGATCCATGACACAACAAGTGGCACTACACTATTACGAACAGATCAGGATAGTGCCGTCCACAGAAACTACACTAGTCAATAACAGTTTTTCCATTTTTTATTCATAATTTACATTTGTAACTTGAACTCAGAACTTTGTATTATTCTGGATATAAAGTGACACATCTAATACCTTGCCCGTAGGACTAAGTTTCTGTCTAGACTCTAGAGAGAAAGTTTGAAAACTATGTTCTACTCTCCATCAAACTTTCCTATTTTCCACGACATTTAAGTTTTATTATCCAAAGTCACTTCTTATATTTTTTTTAAGTAATATCTATTCCAGTGATAAGACACATCAAACATCTTTTCTTGAATCTTACCCAGTCCTTAAAAAAACTGTTCATTATCAAAATGAGTACGAGTTTGAGCAGAGTTGTTAAAAGTCATTAATCGACATTCATCTCACGTATAGTAATATCTAATCTGTGTCCAAGAGCTTAAAACACATCTTCCGCAATACCGAAGAATCATGAAAACACCAATAACTGAAAGCGAATTTTTACATACAATCTGAATACTCATATCTAAAAACGACATATCTCTAAATCCCCATTTATTTAAAGACATTGTTTATTGCCTATACTTACCTTATTGCTTAACAACCATTCCGGACAGAAATTTATATTTTGTCAACATAAATGAACTCTCATAATTTTGATCTATCGAAAGTTTTAAGAAATCATATTTTAGTGTGAATTCGGACTTTCTATACTTCATTGAAACAGACAAGACCATCTATCAAGCAATAGAAAACTTAAGAAATAACTCACAAGTAAAACAACTTTGTAATACTATGGGGGTTTGTAATCCCCTGGATATAGCAAATCATTCTACATTAAACTAAGGCACAGACCTGAAAAATAATACATCTAGCGTTCCAGAGAGAGAGAGAAAAAAAAGCAACAACAAAGAAGTTTCATTGACTTTGAGACGTGACTGAATGGGTTAAGCACAACTTAAAGTGTTAGGCTTAGCTGCCGAAGTTTCCACAATCTTTTCTACACGTCACATACAAATACAAAATAAACTGTATACTACCAATAAGTGTCCTAAACTTAACTCAGTACGTTTACATAACGTCACGAATCCTAGGTATACAAATATAAACGCGTCCATCGTTCTGCGCATGCGTCAACAAGCCGTCAATGGACCGATAAAAGAATATATATTTTAATAATTAAACTTTCCTAATGAAATGTGTACGGATGATATTATCGCTATTTGTCAGAAAACAGAAACAAAAAACACTCGTAACATGTTTAGTGTTTAAATTTTCCCGCTTAGAATAAAAACTATCAAAAATCCAAATTGAGATCAATTTGTGATTAAATCATTTCCAATCTCAATGTACGAATTAGGTACAGTAAAATCAAAGTAAAGGTTTATAATTCATGTGCAATAGGAATGAAATTCCCCTTACACATCTACATTACCTTTATCCTATTTTTTTCCTAAACAAAATTCCTCTAAACAAGGGAAGACTAGGATTAAATGTACTTTGTTATTTGTGACAACCTTTGTGTCACGTATGGTGACGTTTGGCACGTTATTTGTGACGTATCTATAACATACAACGTAATTCGATAATATAAGTATATTGTTGATTATATCCAATAGCAACCTTCAGTGCCTTACAGTTTTTCTTAGTTATGGCAGAAAGCATGATTTAGTGATGTACATTTAGTTTTAAATTTTCAGTACATTCACTAACTTACTTACACTGTTAACTACATCTAAAAATATCCCCCAAGAGACATTAAATATTTTTAGATGTATCTGTCAGTAATTTTCTGTGCTTTACGTATATTGTTGGCTATATCTGACAGTATCCATTACTAACTTACCTATATCATTAATTATATCTAACAGTATATTTCAAGGAGTTAGACATATCTTTGGCTATGATTACCGGTTTTCTATACTCGTATGGATTCTTCACTATATCCTATAGTATCATCTATGTTGTTGGCTATAACTGACAGTATTCTTTACTAACATGTTATATATTGTTCACTATATCTGACAATATCCTTCACTAGCTTGCATTTACTATTGGTTATGTATCCTTTACTGACTTACTGTATCTGACAGTATTCGTCGCTATCTTACATCTACTGCTGACAGTATCTTTCGCTGACCTACATCTACTGTTTGTTGGTACCAACAAACAGTAGATGTAGGTCAGCTGAAGGATACTGTCAGATACTGCCAACAAACGGTAGATGTAGGTCAGCGAATGATACTGTCAGATACTGCCAACAGTAGATGTAGGTCAGCTGAAGGACACTGTCAGATACGGCCAACAAAGAGTAGATGTAGGTCAGCGAAAGATACTGTCAGATACTGTAAACAAACGGTAGATGTAGGTCAGCGAATGATACTGTCAGAAGTAGATGTAGGTCAGCTGAAGGACACTGTCAGATACGGCCAACAAAGAGTAGATGTAGGTCAGCGAAAGATACTGTCAGATACTGTAAACAAACGGTAGATGTAGGTCAGCGAATGATACTGTCAGAAGTAGATGTAGGTCAGCTGAAGGACACTGTCAGATACGGCCAACAAAGAGTAGATGTAGGTCAGCGAAAGATACTGTCAGATACTGTAAACAAACGGTAGATGTAGGTCAGCGAATGATACTGTCAGAAGTAGATGTAGGTCAG